CGGCGTGTGGGCCCGCTCGATCGTCTTCATGTAGAGTAGAGCGTGTCCTTGGTCGGGTGCCGCCGCACCGTGGGCGTACCGCGAGTTGGCGAGCGGGCACGACTGCCTGTTGCAGAAGCCCGTCACGTTCATCTCATTCCGGCAGAACGTCTGCTTCTTGTCGGTGCTGCACACATGGCGTTAGCGTCGCAAAAAGGCCAGCCTCGAGGAGGAGAGGGAGGACAGAGGAGAGAGGAGAGGCACGTACTGAATCTTGAAAGCACAGAACTGCGTGTTGATGATCTCCCAGATAACGCTGTCGCTCGCCATGATGAAAGAATGTAGACGCTGGGTCTGAACCTGAGGGGACAATATGGGTTTCGGGTGACTCTTGTCGTTTTTCTCTCCGGGAAGAGAAGGAAAAGGTCGAGCTCGAGGTCGCTCGTTCGTCGCTTGTCTTCAGCTGGTGAGGAATTGGCGGGGGGGGGGCCTGGGATTTTTTTTCTTTCTGGCCTCTGGACAACTGAACATCTGAACTCTACTGAACCAGAAAAATTTCAGAGCTGCGGCCAAGCGGCAGGGGTCCCCGTTGGTGCGATAAGATAAGACGGCGGAAGCCCGGGGTTGGCAGCCAATAGCAAGAGTCACTTTACACAAGCTCGACCCGACTTCCCCATTTCGTGGATCGAGTGGGTCGCACTTGCTCTCTGCCACTCTCTGCCGCTCAATCGAGGTGATGCATCTAAGCCAGCTCAACCTCGCCATCACGAACCTCTCCTTTTCCTCCTGTCATTTGAGATGCCTCATCTTCCCCAGTCCAACATGAATTCATCACCGTCCTTCGGCATCTCATAGCGCGCTCCTGTACCTCATTCACAGCCAATGCTCCCCGTCGCTCGGCCGGTGCTGCGTCTCGGCCGGACGCGGACTCCGTCTTCACAGCCGTGGCGTCACGTCAGCAGCTGCATCTACACCAACACCTGCAGCTTGAGCTGCGGCACAACAAGCTATGCAGCGCGCGTCTTGTCAGCCCCAGCCCCAGCCTCTCTCCCGAACCACCGCTCCACTGCGTCATGTAGACGGTGGCGGAGCGCAGGGACACGGTTGATGACGACTCGGGTCGAGTCGGCCTTCACCGAGGACACCATCTACGCCCTGTCCACCGCACCAGGCCGTGCCGGCATCGCGGTCATTCGCATCTCAGGCCCGGCCTGTCTGGATGTACGTATGATTGATGCCTTGGGACGTCAGATCACCAGACAGCTGACCGCTCGTCCCAGATCTATCGCCAGCTCTGTCCGTCCAGAGCCCTCCCTCCACCTCGCCAAGCCACGGTGCGCACCCTCTACGACCCCAGCGCGCCACCAACGGCCAACGTCCTCGACCCTAGTGCCCTAATCCTCTACTTTGCCGGCCCCAGGACCGTCACAGGCGATGACGTCCTCGAGCTCCATGTGCACGGCGGCCAGGCCACCGTCAAGGCCGTCCTCGCCGCCATTCCAAGGTGCGCCAGTGCCTCGGTGGCCGTCGTCCGCTACGCTGAGCCGGGCGAGTTCACGCGCCGCGCCTTCCTCAACGACCGCCTCGATCTCACGCAGGTCGAGAGCCTGGGCGACACCCTGGCCGCCGACACGGAGCAGCAGCGCTGGCGCCGTCAGGGGCTCATCTGGCGCCCTGGCCGCACCTACGAGGATGGCGCGCGACGTTGCTGGCAGCGCGCGCCGAGCTCGAGGCTTGATCGACTTTCGGAGGACAGCACTTGACGAGCCCCGCGAGCCGCGCCCCGAGCTCGAGGCCTTGGATCGACTTTTCGGAGGACCAGCACTTTGACGAGTCCCCCCGCCGAGGCTGCTGCGCAACGTCAGTGGGCTTGTCGTCGAGATCCTCGAGGGCATCCGCAGGCACGAGGCCGCCGGAGCGCCGAGCGAGCTTCTGAGGGAGCGGTATTCGCATCGCCCTGCTGGGACCCCCGAACGTGGGCAAGAGCTCGCTCATGAACCTCGTCATTGGCCGCGAGGCGTCCATCGTGTCGGGTGAGGCGGGCACCACGAGGGATATTGTCGAGGCGAGTCTCGACATCCGCGGATTTCTCTGCCTCTTTGCCGATACGGCTGGATTCAGGGGTGAGGCGAGCCTCGAGAGTGGGGGATCTGTAGGCGCCGTGGAGAGGGAGGGCATCCGCCGCGCCAAGCAGAAGGCGCTCGACTCGCACATTGTCGTCGTGCTGGCCGCCGTTGAGCCGACCCCTGACGGCCATGCCATTGTCTACGATGCGGAGACGGTCGAGCTCGCCGCGCAGGCCCAGGCAGCGATCTCGTCGTCAACAAGCGGGACGCTGTCGATGCCGCCCACTTTCTCATCCCTGCTGGAGTCATTCCACGCCGAGATAGGCCGGGCAACCCCCCGCGCTACGCGACGTGCCCACGCTTGCCCTATCGTGCAGGGAGGCGCAGGACGCCACCTCTCGCGGAACTCACAGCACCACCAGCAACGGCGGCGTCGACACCTTCATCGACACGCTCGCCGGCCTCTTTGGCGACATGACGAGCCTGCCCGTCGAGATGCAGGACATGCTGGGCGTCACGGCGCGCCAGAGGCAGCTGCTGGACCAGTGCGGCGCCTGGCTCGACGAGTACATGGCCATCGCCGAGGCGGGCGACCAGCAGGACCCCGATGTCGTGCTCGCGGCGGAGCACCTGCGGTACGCGGCCGAGTGTCTGGCCAAGATCACTGGCCGCGGCGAGGGGGGCGATGTCGAGGAGGTGCTGGGTGTCATCTTTGAGAAGTGAGTTGTTCTCTTTTCCTCCCGCTCCTCTTGATCCTGCCCATCTTTCACCGCTTCCCCTTTTCCACCCCCCACCCCCCCCTTCTCCTGCATCTCCTGACACCCGAGCTCTGCTACTTTCTACTGTCGCCAATGCTGGTTCCGTATACTTCGTGATGACTGACATGTGATCCCCCCCCTCCCGTCCAGGTTCTGCGTCGGTAAATGAGACCACGGTCCCTACTCTATCCCGTAGCGTGAGTGCCCGGCAGACCGGTGTGCGTGTATCGCCCTCTCGTGCCACCCGAGCTAGTGGCTTGGCTTCTGCCGTCGGAGAAAGCAGAGAGGGCCTAGATGCGTGTCGTTGCAGGGTAGTCCGCCGTCAGCGTCCCCCCGTTCTCCCGGCGGCCGATGAGGCTCAAATGTGTCTTTGGGAAGAAAGAGAGAGAGAGAGAAAAAAAAGGGCCGAAGAGCGTCCCGCGTCGTTGGATACCATGTTCGATACCCACCCACCCTTCTCACCACCACCCTGGGAATCAGTCGGTGTAAGCCGCGACCATGTGTGAAAACGGCCGGCTAGAACCATGATTGCTGCGCACACCGGAAGGACAAGGCCGGTGAGCAAGCGGCCATGACGGAAGACAGAAAGCACCAATGATATGACGAGGAAGCTCTGGGCTCGAGGCATGAGAGATGGACTGAAATTGAGAGCCCTTGCAGACCTGTTGCTACTCCGTTCTGTCTACCTAAGCACTACCCCTAAGCGCCACCAAATCTTGAAAGCACGCGCAGTCTTTCCGAGGAAAATCAAACACCAGTCTCCACCCGCCCGTGTATCTACCCTGTACTGTAACATGCAACCTGAAAAATTCCCGGCGTGAGCCTCCCAATCTTGGAATGCCGATCCGCGTACTCATACAAGCTCGCGACCTTGTGGAAGATCGACGACATGCCTGGCTGGCTCTCTTTCGTCGTTGTCCTCCACACACCCCTTTTCTATCAGGGGCGCAATACCGTGTATCGTCGTCCAGACCGCCTCCCGCCCTTGCCACGCAGGAGCGGCCGCGGGCGCCGCCTGGCTGGCTCAGGGCTTTTGCCAAACCCCCCTTCCATGCCCGGCCCGCTTCCCGCTTACCGGGCCCACGGTCGAACGGCAGCGTCCCTGCTGCCCCACCCCACATCTGACCGTCGATCTGAGACACGGGCGCTCAACGACAAGGCCAGCCCTGAGATAGGGTGGCGGGCGAGAAAAGGGACAAGTGGTTGGGGGGGGGGGCGGACGGTGGGACTTGTTGGTGGGGAGAGGCTCCTCATTTGTCATCCTCGTCGTCGCCACTCTTATTGTAGCCCGAACGACCCTTGTTCTGGCCTTCATCGTCTTCGTCGTCGCCCTTGTTGTAACCCGAGCGGCCCTTGTTCTGGCCCTCGTCGTCGTCATCGCCCTTGTTGTAGCCCGAGCGGCCGAACGGCGCAGCGGTGGGAGCAAACTCAAATGTGTAGCCGGCCATTGTGATGATGTAAAGGTGACTTGAACAAAGATCGTGATGATATGGAGGATAGTAACTGTATGGTGGCTTCTGATATGAAGTAATACAAATAGGTAGATGGATGGTGAGAGAAGATTTGTAGGCTGGTGGAGGAAGCTCGAGAATTGCAATGGCTTATGAATGCAAGACTGCTGTGTTGTATCGAGGAGAGTGTGAAGCTGATGGTGATTGTAAACTTTTTCCTTCCTCATCAGGGGGCACTAGACCGAAGTCTTATATAGAAATCAAAGGCACGTCTGGCTGACCAGCCCATGACGTCTCGAGGGTAGGTGACAGTCCTGCGGGCTGCGACTGGACCGGCTGGTATCTTGGGACGCAGAGGATGGCCCTCCGCCTCAACAGGAGGCGGAGGGTCAGGGGGACAAGACGGAAAAGGCATGGCTCACACGATTGCGGATTCCGCAAAGAGGTGACTGGAGGACGGGAATACAAGAATATGCGCAGGCGGATGACAGTGGGCAGCAGTACCTCACTTGAGGCTCGGTGTCTCTTGGGCCCTCAGCTCTCGGTCTGTGTACCAACCGGCTGCTTCTGTCTGGCCAAGGCCTGAGGTCAAGTCCGGACGGGTCCGGCATCCACAGGCAGTTGATCGTAAACCGCATTCTCGGAGGGTGTAGGGTGTGCGTGGACATGGGCATGTGCTGTGCGTGGTGCGGCAGTAGGCTAGGTTGCCAGGGGTGTGATCCAGGGTATGAATGGGTGACGAACAGAGATGGGGGTCTCGAGACGAATTCCGGGACGACACCAAGAGACCAGATTGTTAGTATGCCCTGCCAGCGCCCAGAGACCCAGCGACGGGGGAGGTGACAGGCGGTCGCTGCAGGGCCTGCATGGAATCTCTCTGGAAGAGACCCAAGCACCCAATCATGGACGGACCCAGCCAAGCTCTGTACAACTCCATAAGGCTGAAGTGGATGGAAAGGGTACTCGACGGTAGACCAAGTATCTCGTCAGAGGACATGTAACGTAAGCACCAGCCAGCCACCCCCCATCGTACCGTACCCTGGTCGGCATGCAATGTACAAGTAGGCTGCCCTTCTAGTCGCACGATCGTGCGTGTGGCCGGGCTGTGCACCGGTGATGTGCTTGGATGGTGGGTACAAATTCGTGTACGAAAGAGGAGAGGGGATGAGTAAGGGCCTCGACGCCGAGTAGCACGTGTGGCAGAAGACAAGAAAAAGACCTGTCGTACGCCTAGTACCAAGTGGGTGCAGCTCCCAGAGAACGAGGACAAGCGCCAAGTGCTGGTTCCCGTTTCCAGCGTCCGGTGTCGTGATTATGCCTTCCCAGTGTCGTTCCAGTGCCTGGCATTGCCGCCTGGCATTGGCAGTTGGGTAGATGCAATGCAGTTCGCCACATGCGCAATCCCCTGCCCCCCGGATGACTCCAGGCCGAAGGACGGCAGTGCCGTGGAAGAGTATGACCGTCGGTCGATGATAGCTAAACCCCTATGGCCGAGTAGTTGACAGGTCGCTACAGTAGAAGGTGCTGCCTAGTAAGGAGTCGATATTTGTCATTGGGGTCTGGTCAACGATGGTCGTATCAGAGCCCACATGGCGGTTGTTTCGGCACCCAGGACACTAGAGAGATGACACGGACAGGTCGGTGAATGCATTTGAATGCCGGTACGACGAAGCATACGACGAGCCTACGACGAAGCATACGACGAAGCATACGGCGACACCGTTGCGTGCCATGGCGGAATGCACCGGAGAAACTCGGGGGGTTGCATGGACCGTGGTGGTCTATTGATGACATAGCGAGGCCCAGGCAG